GGCTTGACTTACGTTAAAAGGCATGAAGTAATATTTCAGAATAAAGATGAATGAATAAGTCAATGATTCATCAGCTATACAGATACAGAAAGGCACATCATGGATATACTATTTGAAAAACTGTCAAAATGAATTAATTCTGAGGGTATCTATGGAAATGAATACATTTATGAAAGACAAGAAAATAGTAGAAGACTTACAGAATGCACTTTAAAGATATTGGTCAGCACTGCACTCAATCAAAAAATGTGATATAGATATTACCTGGATTGGGGCGATGGCTATTTTAAGTGAACAGCTCCTCAAGAAGCCCATACATTTAGAAGAAACTGCTCATTGATATGATTCTTTCCACATAATCCCTTCTCAGGAAGAAAAACACATTGGATGATTGTTGTCTGTTTCTTAGTTATATAATAAAATTACATATATAAATAATCCTTTGACATCACCATTTCAAAGAAAGTATTATTATTATTCACTATTATTTTTCCTCCATTTAAGTCATGGCCGGTCTTATAGGACACATGAGGTAAAGTCCACCTTGGGCTTCTTATCCTGCAGCTGCTCCAGGTTGGCCCATCTTCTCAGAACTGCAAAAATGCAGAGTAAGCTACTATGTTTACCGATGGTATCAGCATTATAAAATACAGTGGTGCCCCGCATAGCAAGGTTAATCCGTTCCGGATTAACCTTCGCTATGGGGAAGCATCGTTAAGTGGGACGGGGAAACCCATTGGGCCCAAAACTCACCGGACTCCAATGTTTCCCCATGTTGCGGTGGCCATTTTGGGTGTCCCGGCGGCCATTTTTAGTGTTCTGGCGGCCATTTTGGGTGTCCTGGTGGCCATTTTGGGTATCCCGGCGGCCATTTTTAGTGTTCCAGCGGCCATTTTGGGTGTCCGGCGGCCATTTTGGAACCGCCAAACAGCTGTTCCCCCATCGCAATGCGAGGATGCCCTCGCATTAGCGATGGGGAAATCCGCATCGGTATGCGGTTATTCATTAAACGGTGCACTCGTTATGCAAGGCACCACTGTACTTCTGTCACAGAGACAGGCTATCCTACCTACTGCTGAACTGTGCATGCGCAGGTTCACTCAATGTGCATGCACAAAGGACCACTGGACATGTACAATTCGTTCTTATCTCAGTATGAATGGCATTTAGGATTCTTAACGTGCTTTGTTGTCCGACATGACCATGTTTCCTTTTGGCAATTTAGAAGGCAGATTTTAATTATGAGAAGAGATGAGCAACAGACAGTAACCCACATGCACACAACTAGTTAATTTTTAGGCATGCAGGAGACCAGGAGAGAGTTGTTGCATTCCTCAAAGCCCTTGGATCAGACCATCTCACTCTCAGGGTTCCACTACTGCACTCCTTCCTGATGCTATTCCAGTCATTTTGGCCGACTGACTTCCAACGGTGGCCAGTGGCACCAAAGAACAAAAACAAGCCTGTTTCAAGGTGTGTTGTCTGCAATCTCCAGTGCTGCCCATTCCCGATTTAAATCCACCTCAGCAGTGTGAGTTCTGAAATGCAGGTGTTCATAATGATGATCCACACCACCCAAGGAGGCCCCCCAAAATACAGACATCCGTTTGATCTGTTTCAAGAAAACAATTCTGTTTTTATCTCCACCAAGCAGAGGTGGTTCATGAAACTAAGACAGGGGTTGCACTCTCACCCAAATCACAGGTTGCCCTCACCACCAAGACCTTAACTGCTCATTTAAGACAAGCTACCTCCAAATGGGACATGGTGGCGCTGCAGGTTAAACCGCAGAAGCCTCTGTCCTGCAAGGTCAGAAGACCAGCAGTCATAAGATTGAATCCATGTGACGGAGTGAGCTCCCGTCGCTTGGCCCAGCTCCTGCCAACCTAGCAGTTCGAAAGCATGTAAATGCGTGTAGATAAATAGGTACCACCTTGGTAGGAAGGTAACAGCATTCCGTGTCTAGTCACGCTGGCCATGTGACCACAGAAACTGTCTATGGACAAATGCTGGCTCTACGGCTTGGAGATGGGGATGAGCACCGCACCCTAGAGTCGGACATGACTAGACTAAATGTCAAGGGGAACCTTTACCTTTACCTCCAAATACTTTGTGGTACAATAGGGATCTCATAACAATACACTGGTGCTACAAAAACTCATTATTTCCCTGCTATGATGAGGGCTCTAGCTAAGCTCAAAGGGGCCAGCGAAATGGGGAGAGTATCTATTAAGCCACTGACCAGCCTCCACTTTAAATCTAACTAAACGTCTTGTTTCAATAGCATCATGGGTTGGCTTTACTCAATTACACTGAGTTACAACCAGAAAAATCAGCAGTAGCTGAACATGCCCTAAAACATGCTGGAGATGAAATTCTACTTCAAAATACTGAAGTACTGGACAATACCAGCAAGCATTATGTTAGACTACACAGGGAAGCCACTGAAATCCATAAACACCAGCAGAGCTTCAACAAAAAAGAGGAAAGTCTAAAACTTAACAAGGCCTGGCTTCCAGCACTGAAAAATACAGGGTGCAAAAGGTCAACAAACTCTACCCAGACACAAGGACCAGGGATCATTGAACAAAAAACACCAGCTAAAGACACCCATCAACCACAGTGACAGATAATCTCTCCCACTTATCACAAGAATACATCCACAAAAAACACGCCGATCACCCAATCTCCTGAAAAGGACAAAAGCTGTTTCCACAGCTATAAATACTCAACTATCCAACAAACAGCAACAGAGCATGGACAGAGTTCCTACTCCAGTCCTCTGAAGATGCCGGCCACAGAGACTGGCGAAACATCAGGAAGAACAACCTTCAGAACATGGCCAAAGAGCCCGAAAAACCTACAACAACCAACACTGAGTTCTCTCTACAGTTTAGCTCTCATGAGGAACTAAAGTTGCCAGAGGGAAGGAAAGAGGTCATGTGGCTTCAAATGCGAAGCTCTCTCCATTGCACATCACCTGCTCAATATATGACGCTTGCTTAGAAAGCACCAGACCGTTAGCTCAATCTTCTGCAGGAACTAACACAAAAATCCTTCTTTGTATCCTAACAAATAAATTCTCTCTAGTCGTTAAAATTAGCTTGGGCATCTGGTGTGAAAGAATGAGAAAATTAATTTGAAAAAATATAATCTGTGAAAAAAGAAATACAGTACCTTTTGTTTTCAAAGCTGGCATGGCAACTTCCCCCCCCCCCAGTGAATTTACACACAAACAAGGAAAGTTTAACTGCAGCCTCCCCACTTCAAACACAGGTCATTAAGATTTCCACAGCACTAACACTGACGGAGTTTACTTTCTTGTGCTCCATGATCACTGCAGATGGTGACAGCAGCCCCGAAATTAAAAGACGCCTACTTCTTGGGAGGAAAGCCATGACAAACCCTGACAGCATCTTAAAAAGCAGAGACATGACCTTGCCAACAAAAGTCCGCATAGTCAAAGCTATGGTTTTTCCTGTAGTGATGTATGGAAGTGAGAGCTGGACCATAAGAAAGCTGTCTGCCAAAGAATTGATGCTTTTGAAGTGTGGTGCTGGAGAAGACTCTTGAGAGTCCCCTGGACTGGAAGGAGGACAAACCTATCCATTCGGAAGGAAATCAAGCCTGAGTGCTCACTGGAAGGACAGATCCTGAAGCTGAGGCTCCAATACTTTGGCCATCTCATGAGAAGAGAAGACTCCCTGGAAAAGACCCTGATGTTGGGAAAGTGTGACGGCAAGAGGAGAAGGGGACGACAGAGGACAAGATGGTTGGACAGTGTCACCGAAGCTACCAACATGAATTTGACCCAACTCTGGGAGGCAGTGGAAGACAGGAGGGCCTGGCGTGATCTTGTCCATGGGGTCACAAAGAGTTTGACAGGACTAAACGACTAAACAACAACAATATTTTACAGGAGCACCAAAGAAATGCTACAGACGTTTCAAGATGGACGCTGGAAAAGAACCAACATACAGGGAAGTCAACTTTCAGCACTGGCAGAGGTTTACCAAATAAGTTACACCAGCACAAAATGTGAAAACTGCTCCTACTCCCTTGAGCTAACAGGGCTCATAACCAGGGAGCATTAGGCTAAAACATTAGGATGTCATCTTTAATGCAGAAATACCGATACAAAAACAGGTTGAATAAAACCTATTCCCAGTTCAGGCAATTATACAAATGACAAAAAACACTGCAAAGTGGGATTAGAAGTGACCCCCCACACACACTCAAACATGTAAAGTGACTTTTATTTCTGAATAGACAGTGGTGACAGATGCTTCCTCCTCCAAAGCTTGTGCAAAAAAGTATTTCTAAACTTTTGAAATAGGAATCTCAAGACATTCATTTCTTCCAACATACTTATGGCTCAACTAAAGGTTGCAGATGATCCATCCCTAGCAGAGGGCATGACTTAAAGGTTGATTGTAGGTGATTGCCATAGCAAGTGTTGTCCTTCCTTCCTATAATCTCAAATTAGCTTGTCTTGTTTTGTGAGTGATCTGTGTGATTGTCACAGCAATTGCTATTCTCACTCTGCATAACCTCAAATTAGCTTCCTTTGTTTTGCAAATGATGATCAGGATTTAAGTGTAGCCTTCTTATCCAAATCTGGTTTCTCAAAACAGAAAAGCCTGCTCAATCCCATTGACAAAGCAGCCTTTCGAAAGCTAACATGAATGCTGCTGTAATAAAGCATGATCTCTGCCATATATTGTTCGGGGCCCCGAAAGTGTAATGAAGGACTGAATGAAGTGAGGGGGGATGGCATTTAGCACAGCTTCATTTTGGACTACAACTCTCACAGTGATCATGCTAGGTGGAGGATTAGGGGAGTTGTAGTCCCAAAATGTTTTTTTTTTCCTAAACTCTACAGAGGCGGTGGTACTTGGTTTACAATTTGCTGGAGAGCAAAACAATTAGCTAGCCCGGTGGACAGGGGCGAGGGGGGCAGGAGACATCCTAAACTCCCCTTCTCCCTCCTTTTCACTCACCCCCCAACCAGTTTCTGGAGATGTTCTGGAGCATAGTGAAGGGGACGCAAAAGAAGGCGATGAGCAGGTCGCTGAGGGCCAGCGAGCAGATGAAGATGTTGGTGACGGTGCGCATGGCTTTGCGGCGGGCGACCACGGAGAGCACCAGGCAGTTGCCGAAGAGAGCCAGGGCGAAGATGAGCACACAGATCAGGACGAAGGCCAGCTTGGCGCGCCCGGGCAGCTCCGGGATGTAGACCAGCGGCTTCAGCCCATAGAGCGCGATGAATTGTTCCCGGGTCACGTTGTTCTCCCGCAGGAGCTGCGCGAACTGCTCCGGGGTGATGTTCAGGGACCGCATAGCCAAAGTAGGATCTGGAGGAGGTCAGCGCCCGATCCTCTGAACCTTGGGCATGGCGGGCAGGAGCCGACCTCTCCGGCGAGGGCGGAATCCTTTCAGGATCGCAACAAATAAATCCCAGGACGTGCGCCAGAAGCTTCTCTACCCGGAGACGACGCGTTCAGACCACCTCTGAACAGGAGCGGTCGAAAAGGAGGTGTAGCGAGATCTTCAAGGATGGCTAGTCCGAAGGCTTTCCCGCGCAAGTCTCCCCCCCCGCGCGCGCGCAGTCCCGGCAGAAGCCACTGAAGAGAAGAGCAAAAAGATGCGCGTCTCGTCGAGATTTCGGGCAGCGAAAGCCGCACCGGTTGCAACAGCCTGAAACTTTTGACACGGGCGGAGACCGACATTCCAAAGTGGGCGCGGCTCCTCCAATCAGAGCTCAGCCTTGACGAGAGGACTGCCCCGCGCGGCCCCCTACTGGCGGCTTCATTCGAGCCATTCGCCACAGAAACCGCCGGATCTTCCCCTCCGCCCCCCTCCCCAATCGGCCGCTGGCTTTGGGGGGAGCGGGAGCGGGGGCGCCGCCGAGGCTTCAGGGGAGGAAAGGGGGTTGCATACCGAAACTCGAGGACATGAGAAAGAAAATGGTATAACCAGCTGTTCCCCTTCCTGGCAGTAAAAATCAGAGCTTGGAACAGTAAAATTTTCGGACTTTAGTTCCAAGAATCTTCTAAGGCAACAGGTCCAAGTGAAAATACAATACTAATAACCTTTTATGATGCCCCAAATATCCTAACTGAAGTCACTCTCGCATACCTCTAATATTCAGTCTGCCCTTGCAGATAGATAGGCAGCAGAAACCAAAAGAGTAGCATTTTTAGGCCCTTTAAACTTAACACTCTTTCTCTGAATTATTGGAAGAGACAGGGTATAAGAATTATATATGAAAATTTTGTTATGTGCTATGAGTCAGAACGGACTTTTAGGGACCCTTATAGGGATTCCAAGGTAACAGAGATTTCAGGAGGGGTTTTAGCATGACTTTCCATGGCCAGCCAGTTCTCCAGAGTCCATGACTATCCATCACCCTGTATTATAAACAAGATTTTAAAACAACTAGTTGAATTCTTAGCCAGCAAGCATGGCATAATATCAGAAATATTTTGTGACACCTATTCCCGATGTCAAAGCAACATAACCAGAATCAACAGAAGGAAAGAAGACAACAAAAATTGGGGCTTGGATTATAATGATTTGTTTTATTTCTGTTCGATTTATAGGCTGCCTTGCTTTCCATAAAGGACTGATAGAGAAATAATCAAAGCCAGAGATGGGAAAAGTTACTTTGAACTACAGTGGTGCCTCGCTTAGAGATGTAAATTCGTGCCAAAAAATCGCTGCTAAGCGATAACATCGCTAAGCGAAAATAAAAAGCCCATAGAAACGCATTAAACCGCGATTAATGCGTTCCTATGGGTTAAAAACTCACTTTTAAGTGAAGATCCTCCATAGCGCTGCCATTTTCAGTGCCTCTAAAGCGAGGTATCCGTGCCTGAAAACAGCGGGCAGCCATTTTGTTTACCTGGCGGCCATTTTGAAACTGCCGATCAGCTGGCCGAAAATGGGGGCTTTGCGATGATCGCTTCCTTGCGATCATCGCAAAGCGAATTTCCTCCATAGAGACCATCGCAAAGCGATCTCTTTTGCGATGGAAAAAGTCAATCGCAAAGCGATTTCGTCGCTATACGGAGCGATCGCTATGCGAGGCACCACTGTACAATTTCCAGGGAATTCTGAGAGGCAAGACACTCTAAATTGAACAGCAGTTGCACCCCATTGATAAACATAGCATACATCTCAGCTATATAATTTCCATAGAGGTGGTATAGCCCTCAATGGCTTTGTTAACGTATCTTGTTGTCTCATCACTATTATTATCATAGAATCATAGAAAAGTGAAGTGGGAAGGGGCCTACAAGGCCATCAAGTCCACCCCCCTGCCTAATGCAGAAATTCAGTCAAAGCATATCTGCCAGGTGATTATCTAAGTTTCTCTTGGATGCCTCCAGTGTTGGAGCACTCACCAGTTCCCAAGGTAACTGGTTCCACTGTTGTACTGCTCTAACAGTTGGGAAGTTTTTCCTGATATTCAACCAAAATCTGGCTTCCTTTAGCTTGAGCCCATTGTTGTGTGTCCTGCACTCTGGGATGATTGAGAACAGATCCTGCCCCTCCTCTGTATAAATCAATCTCCAGCTACAATCCTGTCCCTCCCCACTTGCACTTCCAATTTGTTTGGGAGTTCATAGACTGTCTCATGGGAAAAGACTGAACTAAAATAGGAATTGAGCACCTCTGACTTTTCTTTGTCCTCTGTTATCACTTTTCCATCTCCATTGCGGAGCTGTGCCACTATGTCTTTTTAACATCCTTCTTGAAATGCGGTGTCCAGAATTGGACACAATACTCAAGGTGAGGTCTAACTAGTGCTGAATAGAGGGGAACTAGCACCTTGTGGGATTTGGAAACTATACTTCTATTAATGCAGCGTAAAATAGCATTAGCCTTTTGTGTAGCCGCATCACACTGTTGGCTCATATTTAGCTTGTGATCTACAACAATTCCAAGATCCTTCTCTCTTGTAGTTTTGCTGAGCCAGGTATCCCCCATGTTCTAACTGTGCAATTGGTTTCTTTTTCCCAAGTGCAGTACTTTGCACTTAGCCCTGTTGAATTTCATTCTGTTGGTTTCAGTCCAGTGTTCCATCCTATCAAGGTCATTTTGAATTTTGTTTCTGTCTTCTAAGGCAAGGGTCCCCAAGCCCCAGTCCATGGAAGGTGGGGCACCCCCATGGGCGCGCTCATGCTCTCAGGCACATGTATGAAGTGGTCGGGGAGCGTGTGCATGCCCGAGCCACCACAAACACTCCCCCACCCTTTTGCACAGGCGCAGCAGTGCCTGTATGCTCACCTGCACACCCGCCC